CCCCCCCACCCATTTAGATGTTGATGTGGTTGAAGTTTAAGAAACCTTATTTGAAAATTTGACCACTAATATGTATGTATCTATATTTTTCAAAATAACCCACCAACTCACTAACTCTTGTTTGATAAACATATTAACAAACAAAAACACTCTAGGGATAGGTAAACTTCCAGTTGACATTCCTATTAAACAAATTGATTATGACATTGATGCATGTTAAACTTTCGATCGCCATGATACACATTACACCTACTTCAATAGCCATATCCATCCTTCCAAGTGAGAAATACGTCTGTCCAATGTTAAATAAATTCCTAGCCGATGTAATCATGACTTGCCCAGAATCTGTTCGTTGCTCTAAAGACATGAACTTCATGAGTGCATCTTCAAAGTGGCCCTTTTCTGTCAAGGAAACAGCCTCGTTCCAGAGTTGTAATGTCTCAACCATAGACATATTGGACACTGACGATGACAGTCTAGATCGTAAAGCTAAGAGAAGTTGGAAAAGTATTCTTCAAAGTTCAGTACATCTTGACATTCCTTTGTATAAGCGATCATTTTTTTTTTTTCGGTTTCTTGTGCGAAGAACCGCTGATCGAGAGTATTGTCAGACAAAAAGCAACAGGTAGCCCAAGTCCGATAGAAATCTGCCAATATTTATAAATGCGTATTATAAAATAATTTTGATTCAAAATAACTAATAAGTCTTCTCCTTAATTTAAGTTGTCAAAAAAATACTTTTTGTGTCAGAATTTAAGACAAATAGGGAATAGATAGGTAAAGAAGATATTGGGATTCCTGTGTTCCAGCTGATGGTGTTACCATGACAACGTTTGAAAGCAGAACCGCCATCTTGTTTTAGCAGTAAATATAAAGACAATATAAGTTGAACTTTTGAAAAAATAATGGAGTACACGGGAAGTAACTACGAGGGTGATTACAAAAATGGGAGGTTAGTTCATCGTTTAATTCATGTGCATTCTTTATTTTGATACTTATTGAATATTTTGGTTGTTTTTCATCTGTAGAATGGAAGGCAAAGCCAACTACACCTTTCCTCCTTCGGTAGAAACGAAATACGAAGGCGAAATGAAAGATGGAATGTGAGTCTAAATAACTTCTATTAAACTATTTTTTTTCTCGACAACTCAAATTTTACAATTATCCACTAATTTTTCTCAAATGGAGCCTTTAGAACAGCAATTAGAATCCAATGTAGTTCTAATTCTTTATATGTAGTTTGTCTAGAACGCAAAAAGTTCTAAATATTCTTATCAATTTATAGGTTTCATGGTGAAGGGACACTTTTCTATTCTAATGGAAGCAAGTATGTTGGTAAATGGGAGAATGGAATTGCAGTAGATGTAAGTATACATTAGAATTTTAATTTTGAATAATGCTGTCATTTACACCAGAAAAGAGGGTTTATTAAGTGACTTATTATGTGAAAAGCTGACTTAGTTTTAAATCATGCAATCTGATTAGCTATCTGGGTGGCCGGCATCCTAAAGCCTGGAGCACAGTACTTACTGTACATTCTGCCGACTCATACGAAATACCAAAAAAAAAAAAAGAAGTTTCTGTCAATTCTCCTATCCTGACCTAACTCTTGTTCAATAATCCTTGATCTATTCTTCTTTTCCTAGGGGACATATACGTTTGCAGATGGGTTGGAGTATGACCCAGAAGACTGGAGATATTGCGATGGATATGACAGAAGATTTTATACTGAAATCTGCCATGGATTAAAACCTGCTGGTCAGTAATTTACCTGAGCTTTCACAATGACCATACAGAAGGAAATATTAAAATTTTATGGGGCTATATGGTACTACTACTTTCATTCATCTTGCATGTAATGAATCAAATGACAGCAGTTGTTTGAACCTTCCTTGCTCCAGCCCTTTTGACTGCTTTTTTGATCCTGCTTTTGCTAAAAGTTTTCCAAAAGGATCTTTTTCTAATGGATTTTTTAGATGCTTGGTTAAAATTAGCTAAGACTAGACTGGTAATGCTCTATTGTCTGACTGAATGAAAACTAATGATAGATGTTTCTCTATATGACTGTTATAGGTCGCTCACAGCTTACCAATAGAATACCTCCTCGAGTTATACCTGAAGGATGTTATGACTGTGGAGATGGCTTCTATAATCCAACAACAAGAGTGGTTACAGATTATAAGAATAACTTCCTTAGAAATGCAGGTGAGTGGGCCTCAAAGTGATGCATGGTTGGTCCTAGCGGCTAGTTCTCAAATGGTATTTGTATCATCTTTTGAACTGGACCAATGCAGCCCAAACCAAATGTAAGAATGAAACCCTAAGAATTCAGCTAATGTTTGGGCTTCCTGTAATTTTTATAGCAAAGAAGAGTAGGAAGAGAGGGAAGGGTATATAGATAGCCTTTTCTGGAGGGAGTGTATCAGGTTTTTTTAATATAGTCTGCTTATGTTTTATTACAGATGATGACGAGCATGAATGGATTGTCAGAACATGCAGGAAAGGCTGGGATGAGCATGTTGGATACCAACCTCAAACAAAACCTTAGAGACACAGACTCAGAATATTGTGTATACCTGCGAAAAACATAGAAACCAAACAAAAATCCTCAGATGAACAGAGAGTCAGGGAAGAACATCACCATGCATCATTTTCACAACTGTATGCTTCAAAAGTGTGCTTTAAGCTTGACCTGTTGGATGAACATAATAGGGGCATGGAATGAAGAGTGCATATTGTACAGATTGCAACGAAATAAGAGGGTTAAATGGTCCATGAATCATGGACTCAAAACAACAACTGATGACTTTTACATTACCACTCTTTTCACTGCTATGAGACAACAGTCACAACAGGGAAATAGGGCAATTATACACTGCAGCCAATCGGAGAACATAAAGGTATCGACCAATTTATTTGATTGACGGAAGAGTATAGCCCAATAGGCCCTTTGCAGCTCAGTAATCATGTGCTGATTAATTCACTGAGAGCAAATGAATGAACATCTTGATTCCCATGGGTGAAATATACTGGTGAGCAAACAAAATTTCTAGAACCTGTTTTGAGAGATTGTAATAAAGCTGCATTTCGTGAAACACTGGTTACACATAGTTTCATTCAGTTCTTTACGAGTAGCTAAAAAGAATCACCAATTTAAAATAAAATCAAAAATATTGCCCACCAGTACAGACACCTGACCGTTAAGTGCAAAGGACCTATTTCCCTGTCCCGCCTGTTGTCTCGATCAGTGTAGCAGTGAAAAGTTGGCAAAGGGCCATTTAAGCATGAGGTTTTTTAATACCTTTTGAATTATGACCCATAACTAAATCAATGGAAATGTAGTTTTCACAAGTCATGAGAAATGGACAGGTCATAGAAGTCCTGAAAATTCACAATAACTGTAACAAGAATTACCCTTTATTGAATTAATAAATTTAAACTAAAAATAATAGTAATAGTAAGTGGTCTCATATTCTTGTACAAATTGTTTGTCTTTAATATCATTACCTGCTCTTCTGCAAATAAATTAAACTTAAAACTAGTCTTTGTGTCAGGGGGGGGGGGGGTCGGAACCAGTGTGCTAAGCTTTACGGTAGCAAAAACAAACCACGTGGAGCCCAATTCATCGATAACATACTTTATACCAAACTACATAGCATTTTTCCTTGGCCATTTAGTTAAAGATTGTATTTATAAAAACATGTCTGAAAAAGTTTTGACACTGGAAAATCCTGAAAAATGCATTATACTGTCACTAAGGGATTGGGCTTCCTGTGGTGCCCAATTGTTATATTGGAATTTTACCAGAATTGTCAAAATTCTTCTTTATCTCTTTATAAGTGTATTCCATTATAAATGTCGGGTGCTTTTGAAAAATCATTTTGGAATGGCAAAGTATTTTGCTGTCGGGGGAGGGGAAGGGCCGGCAAAAAAATTATTTTTGAAAAAATTATATGGTTCCCAGTCCCTTGGTCGCGCTGTCATTTGCACATGTGGACCCGGCATATTGCATAAGGCTGATCAACTACGGATTTAAGCTAAAATATGTCGTATTGCAGAGAGGAAGGTAATTTCAAACAAAGCTTAAGTTATTCTGTACATCCTATAATATTTAGATCTCCTTGCATTTCTTTTTTTTTAAGGTAAAGATAAGTTGATTTTTGCTACCGAAGACGACTACTCGACACCAAGTAATGTTGTCTTTGTGGAAGACGACGACGACTATGAAGGACTCATAAAACCTACCGGAGAAATCAACTGGGATTGTCCTTGTTTACAGGGGATGGCCGATGGTCCATGTGGAGAACAATTCAAAGCAGCATTTTCGTGTTTTCACTACAGCGAGGCTGAGGCCAAAGGTGCAGATTGTGTGCCACAATTTCGAGATATGCAAATGTGCTTTTCTAAATATCCTGATATATATGGCAAGGAAGACGAAGAAACCTCCGAAAAGAACGAAACTATTAGTGAAAATCTCGATGGGACGGATAGTGAAGTCGAATCAAACACTCAACAAGAGGAATCAAAAAGTACTGACAATGAGATCAAAACTACCGAGGGGGGTAGTGAGGAACAGAATATTAAAGCTGACTCATCTAGCTGATTTTTGTTAAAGAATATTAGAACAACTTCATAATTTTCACGTAATGCAGGTCATACATGCTCGATGCATACGCTTTTTGGGTGTTGGAGTGAGTAAGAAGTAATAATCTGATTTTGGAACAGTCAAAAAATTGGTGAGGTTGCCAATCCATATCCATTTCAATATTAAATGCTTCCTTTTTATTAAAGTTAAAAGTTAAACCTAGTTTCTGATATCATTATATAAGTAAATCAAACAAGTATGGCACATACCTATTTCAAAAAGGTTGCTTATACCAAAGGCGATAGGGAGTAAAGGATAGGGGACAGCTGGTCATTCCAAGATCAAGGAATAGCTGGAATGACCTGTGTTAATTTGTATTATACTCAGCAAGAACACAGATGTGAAGTAATATTTCAAAGCCGACAATGAGGAGTGGACGGGATTTCAAGTCCAAGCGATAGGCCATTTCACGGATCCCATTGCTCAACCTCAGCCTCGTCAGCATGTAATATATTCTTTAGAGATTGCCTATAACCTGTGAAATTTTTAAGTGATTCAATTGTTTGTCGATGGGTAAATTCCTTTCATTACTGCAGACTTTAGTCAAATTCTAAAGAATAATTACACGCTGACGAGGCTGAGGTTGAGTAACGGGATCCATGAGATGGTCTATTAGTTCCAGTCTGAGGTTTAGCCAAGGACTGGAACTAATTGCATGGACTTGAAATCCCATCCAGTCTGATATTGGAGGCTTTGAAATGACTTCTCATGCTCATTATTATTCGACTTGGAGTAACTGGAGACTGAAGTTACTACAAGTTACTACAAACTGAATTCAGTCCTTTCACGACTTGACCAGGTTTCAAGTAACATCATGTGACCCAAAATAGCCCATTGATTGGCTGGTTGAGAATGAGATATCCAGTGTTGTTCCATATCACCTATCTCATTTAGCTCTGACAACATTTTTTGAAATAGGTGTATCTACTTGTGCTTGCATCTGCAAAACAGGAGTGTTTTACGCTGCTAATGCATGTGGACCTATATAACTACTGTGGTAATGGTTTTGATTCTTCAAGATTTTTTTCTTCAGCAATAGCGAGTTAAGTTAGTAATGCCCAGGAGTCTGGTGGATTGGGTAGGTTGTGGTGTATACCACTTATGCACCCTTGAAATATCCATTCTCATTCTCAGTGAAACATATTACAGTATTAAAACTAACTTTTATTTCAAAAACGTTTTGTGCAATTTGATCTACAACTGTTGAACTGAAAAATAATTATTTGTAATAATTATTGTTTACAACTCCTTGGCTGTTAGAGGATAAAAAAGTCCCCTGTCTGATGAAGCACGTGATATTGCTGAGCTCAATATATGGGAATCTTCTAGTTTAGAGCTCTCTGATGCTCAGGGGTAACCTTGATTTCAACATTTTTTCATGCACCTCGAAGGTCGGCCCATGGAATTTCAAAGAGTTATTAACACCACTATTGTTGGAGTTGTTTCTGTTATACATTAGACGCTGTATTCCTACTATTTTACCAGTAATAACCACTATGATAAACATGTCTCTTCAGCAGAACTGCTTCCCAGTAGTGTGGAAAGAAGCAATCGTACAGCCAAGACTGAAGAAAGTAGAGCTTGATACTTCTTTTGCTAACCTTCGTCCTGTCAGCAACCTTGTCTATGTATCGAAACTTACTGAAAAGGCAGTATTTCAACAACTTCATAAGCACATGACCAGTAATAATCTTTATCCAACATTGCAGTCAGCATATCGCAAAGATCACAGCACGGAGACCTCATTGCTGAAAGTGTTTAATGACATCCTGCTTGATATGAACAACCAGAATGTAACATTGCTAGTATTCCTTGACCTGAGTGCTGCGTTCAATACTATCGACCACGATATTCTTATAGCTCGCCTCAAATCTAACCTGGGCATTTCAGAACCTACTCTATTGTGGTTCAAGGAGTACCTCTCTGACCGAAGCCAACGTGTCTCTATCAACGGATGTGTATCTAAAAAGTTCAGCATCACAAGCGGTGTGCCTCAAGGAAGCTGTTTAGGGCCTCTTCTCTTTATCATCTACGCCAGTGACCTGTTCAAGATCCTAAGCAGACACTCAGTAAAAGCTCATGCTTATGCGGATGATAGCCAACTTTACCTCTCGTTCAAGCCAGGACACATGGACAGCCAAAATGAGGCTACGGATACTATAACGAATTGCATCAGAGATATTCAAGGATGGATGACATGCAGCAAATTGAAAATGAATGATGGGAAGACAGAGTTCATGATCATTGGCACGCGACAGCAACTGTCCAAGCAATCAATTGAGCAGCTCACTGTTGGCAATTCTTCAATCAAGCCCYCATCTTCTGTCAGGAATCTTGGAACTATCTTTGACACTAACTTATCTTTAGACAAGCAGATAGCAAGCATATGCAAATCTTCTTTTTATTATCTATATAACATTAGGAAGATCAGGAAATTCCTCTCCTGATTCTTGCGCCACTCTAGTCGATGCTTTTATAACTTGCCGCATAGATTACTGTAATAGCTTATACTATGGGCTACCTGCTTATCAAGTAGCTAAACTGCAACGCATACACAATGCTGCCGCTCGTTTAGTGTCTTTAACTCCACGCTTTTCGCATATTACTCCTGTCTTGGCTGATCTCCACTGGCTACCAGTGAGATTTAGAATACGTTTTAAGATACTTATTTTCGCTTTTAAGGCTATTCATGGTCTTGCTCCTAGTTACTTATCTGATTTAATTTCTATCAAAAAGCAGTCTGGTTATAATCTTAGGTCCAATAATGAGCTTTTATTAGCACCTCCACCGACTAAACTTCGACCTACTCTT